GGAAAAGACAAGGATGTCCACTCTTATTATTTCTACTCAGCATTGTATTAGAGGTTGTAATCCTGGCATTTAAGCAGGAAAAATAAATAAATCATATCTAGACTAGAAAGGAAGAAGAAAAGTGATCTCTATTAACAGATGACACAGGCCAGACATGGTGGCTCATACCTATAATCCTAGCACTTTGGGAGACTGAGGCAGGAGGATCGCTTGAGGCTAGGAATTTGAGACCAGCCTGGGCAAAAAAGTGAGACTCTCTCTGTACAAATTTTTTTTTTTTTTAATTAGCCAGGCAGCCAGGCGCAGTGGCTCACACCTATAAATCTCAGCACTTTGGGAGGCCGAGGCAGGCAGATCACAAGGTCAGGAGATCAAGACCATCCTGGTCAACATGGTGAAACCCTGTCTCTATTAAAAATACAAAAATTAGCTGGGCATGGTGGTACACACCTGTAGTCCCAGCTACTCGGGAAGCTAATGCAGGAGAATTGCTTGAACCCGGGAGGCAAAGGTTGTGGTAAGTCAAGATGGCATCATTGTACTCCAGCCTGGGCGACGAGAGTAAAACTATGCCTAAATATATATCCAAGCATGGCTGGGCGCAGTGGTTCATGCCTATAATCCCAGCACTTTGGGAGGCCAAGATGGGCAGAATGCCTGAGGTCAGAAGTTCATGACCAGTCTGGCCAACATGGTGAAATCCCATCTCTATTAAAAATACAACAAAATTAGCCAGGTGTGGTGGCATGCACCTGTAATCTCAGCTACTCCATAGGCTGAGGCAGAGGAACTTCTTGAACGAGGGAGGTAGAGGTTGCAGTGAGCTGAGATTGTGCCACTGCACTCCAGCCTGGGCAACACAGCGAGACAAAAAAAAAAAAAAAAAAAAAATTAGCCAGGCATGGTGGCACACACTTGTAATCTCAGATACTCAAGAGCCTGGGGCAGAAGGATAAACTGAGTTCATGAGTTTAAGACTACAGTGAGCTATTATTGTGCCACTATACTACAGTCCTGGGTGACAGAGTGAGACCCTGCCTCAAAAAATAAAACAAACAAACAAACAAAAAGAAAAACAGGTAACATAATCCTATGTATAGAAGAAAACCCTGAAGAATCTACAAAATAACTGTCAGAGCTAATAAGCAAGTTCAGCAAGTTGCAGGAGGTAATATCCATACACAAAAATTAGTTGTATACACTAGAAATGAATAGTCTGAAAATGAAATGAAGAAAATAATTCCATTTACAATGGCTTCAAAAAAGAATAAAGTACTTAGAAATAAACTTAATCACAGAAGTGTAACACTTGAAAGAAATTTTACAAAACGCTGAAAACTACAAAACACTGTTGAAAGAAATTTTAAAAGATTATGAATATGAACATATTTATAAACATAAAGGTATCTCATGTTCATGGATTGGAAGATAATATTGTTAAGATAGCAACATTCCCCAAATTGACCTACATATTCAGTGTAATCCCTACCAAAATTACAATAGCCTTTTTTTTTCCAGAAATGGAAAAGCTGATGATAAAATTAATATGGAATTGCAAAGGGCACAGAAAAACTAAACCAATCTTAAAAAAGAAGAATAAAGTTGGAGACTCACACCTTCCAATTCCAAAACTTACTATAAACTATAGTAATCAAGACAGTGTATCACTGGCATAAGGATAGATATACAGACCAATGGAATGAAAATAAGTGTCCAGAAACCCATACATTTATGTACAATAAATTTCAACAGGATGCTAAGACAATTCAATAAGGAGAAAACAGCCTTTTCAACAAATGGTGTTGGCACAACTGGACATCTACATGCAAAAGAATGAATTTGAACCCCTACCTCCCACCATATAGAAAAATTAACTCAAAATGGATCCATGACCTAAAAGTAAGAGGCAAAAACTGCAACACTTATAGAAGAAAGCATAGGTAAAAAAATGTATGACCTTGATTAGGCAATGGATTTTTAGATGACCCAAAATATGAGTAAGCCAAAAACAACAACAAAAAAAGATGAATGTCACCAAAATTCAAAACTTTTGTATATCAAAGGACACTATCAATAAAGTAAAAATATAACCCAAAGGCTAGGAGAAAATATTTGCAAATCCTATCTAATATGGGCCTAGTATCTAGAATACATAAAGAATTCTTGCAAGTTAAAAAAAAAGGATAAATGACTCAATTTTTTAAATAAACAAAGGATTTGAATAGATATTCTCCAAAGAAGATATACAAGTAGTTAACAAGCATATAAAAAGATGTTCGATGTCCTTAAGGAAATGCAAATCAAAACCACAACAAAATGCTACTTCACACCCACTAAGATGGTTATAATAAAAACAAAAACAGGCAATAACAAGTATTAACAAAGATGTGGAGAAATTAAAACACTTGTGCACTGCTGGTGGAAATGTAAAATGGTACAGCCACTTTGAAAATAGCTCCTCAAAAAAGATAAACATAAAATTACCATATTATCTAGAAATTTCACTGCTAGATGTATTTCCACTGCTAGGTGTACAAATTCCACTTCAAAATTTGCACACAAATGTTTATAGTAACATTATTCATAATAGCCAAAAAGTGGAAACAATCCAAATGTCTACTAGCTGATGAATGGATTAAAAAAATATGGCATATCTATACAATGGAATATTAGTCTACCATAAAAAGGAATAAAGTACTGTTACATGATGCTACAACATGAATGAACCTCTGTGCTAAGTAAAAGAAATAGACAAAAAAGGCCACATATTGTATGATTCTATTTATATGAAACATCCAGAATATGCAAATCCATAAAGACAGAGAATAGTGGTTGCCTTGGCATGAGGGAAGAGAATAATTGGGACTAATTGCTAATAGGTATAGATTTTCTAAAAATGTTCTGAAATTAGATAGTAGTAATGAATGTACAACATAGTGAATATACAAAAAATACACTGAAAAGTATACTTTATGAATTTTACATTATGTACATCATCTCAATTTTTATGCTACTACAAAAGAAACCTAATACACTTAAAAATGGTTCAGATAGTAATTTTTTTTTTTTGAGGGGTTTCTCTCTTTCACCCAGGCTGGAATGCAGTGGAGCTATCTTGGCTCACTGCAACCTCCACCTCCCGGGTTCAAGCAATTCTCCTGCCTCAGCCTCATGAATAGCTGGGACTACAGGCATGCACCACCACACTCAACTAATTTTTGTAGAGATGGGGTTTTGCCATGTTGGCCAGGATGGTCTCGAACTCCTGACCTCAGGTGATCCGCCCATTGTCAAATCAGCAGTGGCATTAGATTCTCATAGGGGCTTGAACCTTACGATATTCCATTACAGGCATGAACCACTATGCCCGGCCTAAGATAGTAAATTTTATGCATTTTACTACAATTTTTAAAATAAAAATACATTTAAAAGGAAATACAATACAAAGGTAAACAGAGATCCTTTAAAAAAAATTTTTTTAAGCCTCATCATAGAACACATACTAAATGCAATGATATAGTAACTGTGGATCATCTACCTTTCTGTTCCAGTCCTTAAAGTTAGAAACTCTAGGAAACTTCTGAATCCTTATCTAATTATGTGCAATGTGTGCATGAATTGCATGTGCACTGATTCCCCCAATAGAAATGGTAATTGTTCTTTGATTTATGAATAGCATTTATTACATACCCCAAGCACAAAGCACATACTTTCAAAGCAATAAAAAGCCTACATTTGAGTTTAAAATTCATACCAAAAGAGAAATTTATCCTAAAATTTTTATTAAACTTGTTTTCGTAAATACTTTCTAAGTAACTTAAAATAGTATATTTGTTTCATAAAACAGCTTTGAGTTGCTAGCAAAGTGTAAAAAATTAAGAAGCTTATCTCTGAGACCTTTGGAGAGTAAAATATTAGCTCTTCGGTTCACTGCCTAGAAATGAATTACTGGTATTGACAGTGCTTTACTTAGTCCTATAATGACCTTAAGGACAGTGAGAAGATGTCTTCATTGAAAATGAGAAGTATATAACAATCTTATGTCCTTTCAGAAACAATAAACTAGAAACTAGAGAATTCAAAGCATTTCCACTTTCTCTAGAAAGTAGATGTGCCATTATATAAACTACAGTGTCAATAATGATCAGCCTATCTGGATCTAAAGCAAGATGCAAACAGAGGGATAAAATAGCATCCCTTGCATGCTCTACACCGGGTAGGGATGCCCGGATGCAGAGCAAATGGGAGGCAGCTTATCCTGTGTGCAAGCAATAAGGGTGTGCACTGTCAGGAGAGAATTTTAAAACAATAATACAACCAACTAAAAGTCAGTTTGCTTTTTACTATTACCACAAACCAGCAATTCTAAACAATGTCAGTGATTTAAAAAAAAAAAAAATACCTCTACCAGGACAGATAGCTCCCACAGCCACTGCCTGTGGCACACTGCTGCACTTACCACGTTATGAATTCAGTGTGTGTGGGTGGGGTGTGGGTGTGTATGTACACATATATAAATGCTTTCAAATATAGTATAAAACTTAAATACCTACCACTTTAGTCACTGCACAGATACTTCTGTTGACTTAAAGGAAATGAAAGCTAAACACCACAATTACACATTATTAGGCCTTCTGTCATTTTCATAATTATCTGGTTAAAGGGAAGTTACTATTAATTTAGACTTGGTAGAGTAATTCTTAATGAAAATATTAATTACTAAAGCATTAGTCCAGAACCCTCCTGTAGCCAACTCATTTAGGAATTTACAATTTTAAGGCATTATAGATACATAAAATCTTTAACACTAAGTGAAAAGGTTAATATATTTGATTTAGTATCTGATTCTCCAATAGTTTTACATATATTTAAAGTATACATTTTTCTAGGAAAATAAGATGAGGCATTTGAGTCCTTATTTTGAAAGAAATATTAGAGGTGACAGATATTAAGACATCCTAATAAGCATTAAAAACAAGAATGACAACAATATCACTTACCTAAACCTTCAGATTCAAAGAGGTAAGTTTCATCAATCCCAATGTCCCTACACCAGTGAAGGAAGTTTGCGGTATTGTCTCGAGCAAAGAATGAACCTGATGCAGCATCTTTCTTACAGGGCACTTTTCTCATTGGAAAGTTCTAGAAAAGACAAAATGGTTTCAAAAATGTATCAAAGATATTTTCATTAAATATTCATTTTGACATTACTAAACAAATGTTTAATTATTTGAATTAATATTTAATGAATATTTCATTAAATATTCATTTTGACATTAAACAAATGTTTAATCCACCACCTGTAGCTAAAAAGTACACAACTTTAGAGAAAAAAGACACTTTCAAAAACTATTTTATCTTACTTTAAAGCAGAGGTCACTAACCCCTGGGCCACAGAATGGTATCAGTCCATGGCCTGTTAGGAACCAGGCCACACAGCAGGAGGTGAGCAGTGGGTAAGCATGCATTATCGCCTGAGCTCTGCCTCCTGTCACATCAACGGCAGCATTAGATTCTCATAGGAGCTCGAACCCTATTGTGAACTGCACATGCAAGGGATCTAGGTTGCATGCTCCTTATGAGAGAATCTAATGCCTGATGATCTGAGGTGGAACAGTTTCATCCCAAAACCAACCCCCACCCAAATCTGTGGAAAAACTGTCTTCCATGAAACTGGGTGATGATCATAGAACACATACTAAATGCAATGACACAGTAATTGTGGATTATCTACCTTTCTGTTCCAGTCCTTAAAGTTAGAAACTCCAGGAAACTTATGAATCCTAATCTAATAATGTGCAATGTGTGCATGAAGACCGGGGATTGCTACTTTAAAGAATATTTCAGAAAATGATTCGCAGAAAAACAATTTGGTCAAAATTAGCAGTAGGGTCCCTCACCTCTTTTATAAAATGACACAAGAATCTTAATTAAAATTAAAACTGACAGCCTAATAATTTCAAAGCACATCTCTATGATATGTCTCTCTATACATAGTTTAATACAAACCTCAAATTATTGCTATGTTAAAAGTTAACAGATGGACATGATGGCTCACTTGTAATCCCATCACTTTGGGAGGCTAAAAGCAGAAGGACGGCTTGAGGCTAGGAGTTCAAGACCAGCCTGGCAACATAGTGTGACCCCATCTCTACATTTTTTAAATATTAGTCATGTGTGATGACCCATAGCTAAAGTCCCAGCTGCTCAGGAGGCTGAGGTGAGAGGATCACTCGAGCCTAGGAGTTCCAGGATGCAGTAAGCTATGATCGTGCCACTATACTCCAGCCTGGGCAACACAGCAAGACTCATTCTCAAAAATAAAAAATAAAAAAGAATCACAGACACCCATTTTTGCTTACTTCCTTACATGCAGATTCATAAAGATGGTTCTGAGTTTCTTGAGAAGACTATCAAATAAGGAAGTAGTTGCTCCTTCTTAATTAAAGTTCTTTGAAAACTGATGATCTAAGTTACACGGAATTTTACTATTTTTTTTTTTTTTTTACTATCTGGTCCAAGAGTAGATAATTCTCATGAGGCTAAGGGATTTTTTTTGTTATGGTTTGGTTTAAATTTTTGCTTGTATAAGCAATTCATGAATATGATTTTTGTTAATTCGATAAGTACAGTAAGATATTAAGTCTTTCTCCCCCAGTTCTTACCCCCAGTTCCTCTCTTTCCATAGAGTTAACCACTATTACCAGTTCCTTGTACATTCTTCCTGGTACTATTTATTTCCAAAACTAAAATAAGCTTCAAAGTTTGTTTCCTGATTAAATACAGAATATACAATCATTGCAAAAAAAAAAAAAAAATCAAACCAACAGCAAAATACAAAGTATCAACTGAAATCCTCTCACTCACATTTTGGTGAGACATCTCTGCACAACTATACACATATTTGTATCCATAAAACATCACATAAACAAACTATTCTTCAATTTGATTTGTGTGTGTATATGTGCATACACACTAAATGACAGGTTATAGACATCATCTGGGGTTCAAAATAGCATTTTTTAAAAAATATTTTTATTTTTTTAATTGCATTTTAGGTTTTGGGGTACATGTGATGAACATGCAAGATTGTTGCATAGGTACACACATGGCAGTGTGGTTTGCTGCCTTCTGTCCCCTCGCCTGTATCTGTCATTTCTCCCCATGCTATCTCTTCCCACCTCCCCACCCCCCGTCCCTCCCCCATTTCCCCCCAACGGACCCCAGTGTGTTGTGCTCCCCTCCCTGTGTCCACGTGTTCTCATTGATCAACACCCGCCTATGAGTGAGAACATGCGGTGTTTGATTTTCTGCTCTTGTGTCAGTTTGCTGAGAATGATGGTTTCCAGGTTCATCCATGTCCCTACAAAGGAGGTGAACTCATCATTTTTGATGGCTGCGTAATATTCCATGGTGTATATGTACCACATTTTCCCTATCAAGTCTATCATCGTTGGGCATTTGGATTGGTTCCAGGTCTTTGCTATTGTGAACAGTGCTGCAATGAACATTCGTGTGCATGTGTCCTTATAGCAGAATGATTTATAATCCTTTGGATATATACCCAGTAATGGGATTGCTGGGTCAAATAGGATTTCTATTTTTAGGTCCTTGAGGAATCGCCACACTGTCTTCCACAATGGTTGAATAAATTTACATTCCCACCAACAGTGTAAAAGTGTTCCTATTTCTCCACATCTTCTCCAGCATCTGTTGTTTCCAGATTTTTTAATGATCGCCATTCTAACTGGTGTGAGATGGTATCTCAATGTGGTTTTGATTTATTGCCAATTATGTGGTCAATTTTAGAGTAGGTGTGATGTGGTGCTGAGTAGAATGTATATTCTGTGGATTTGGGGTGGAGAGTTCTGTAAATGTCTATTAGGTTTGCTAGGTCCAGGTCTGAGTACTTGCTTGTTCACAAAGGATTTTATTTTTCCTTCACTTATGAAGCTTAGTTTGGCTGGATAGGAGATTCTGGGTTGAAAGTTCTTTTCTTTAAGGATGTTGAATATTGGCCCCCAATCTCTTCTGGCTTGTAGGGTTTCCGCTGAGAGATCTGCTGTGAGTCTAATGGGCTTCCCTTTGTGGGTAACCTGACCTTTCTCTCTGGCTGCCCTTAGCATTTTCTCTTTCATTTCAACCCTGGTGAATCTGACGATTATGTGCCTTGGGGTTGCTCTTCATGAGGAATATCTTTGTGGTGTTCTCTGTATTTCCTGGATTTGAATATTGGCCTGCCTTGCTAGGTTGAGGAAGTTTTCCTGGAAAATATCCTGAAGAGTGTTTTCCAGCTTGGATTCATTCTCTTCATCACATTCAGGTACACCTATCAGACGTAGATTAGGTCTTTTCACATAGTCCCACATTTCTTGAAGATTTTGTTCATTCCTTTTTGTGCTTTTTTCTCTGTTCTTGCCTTCTCTTTTTATTTCATTGAGTTGATCTTTGACCTCTGATACCCTTTCTTCTGCTTGGTCAATTCGGCTGTTGAAGCTTGTGCATGCTTCACGGAGTTCTCGTGTTGTGTTTTTCAGCTCCATCAATTCACTTATATTCCTCTCTATGCTGTCCATTCTCTTTAGCATTTCGTCCAATCTTTTTTCAAGGTTCCTAGTTTCTTTGTGTTGGGTTAGAACATGTTCTTTTAGCTCACTGTAGTTTCTTACTACTCACCTTCTGAAGTCTGATTCTGTTATTTCATCACCCTCCTTCTCCATCCGGTCTGGTTCCCTTGCTGGTGAGGAGTTGTGATCCCTTTTAGGAAGAGAGGTGTTCTGGTTTCAGGAGTTTTCATCCTTTTTGCACTGGTTTCTTCCCATTTTTGTGGGTTTATCCACCTGTTGTCTTTGTAGTTACTGTCTTTCAGATTGGGTCTCTGAGTGAGCTTCTAGTTCGTGGATGCTGAAGTTCTAATAATCTGGCCCCTCTGCTGTAGGACTGCTGAGGTCCTCTCCAGGCCCTGCTTGCCTGGGGATCACCTGCAGCAGCTGCAGAACAGTAAGGGTTGCTACCAGTTTCCTCTTCTGCTATCTTTGTCCCAGAATGATGCTCGCCAACTGTCAGTCCGTTCTCTCCTTTATGAGGTGAGTCTTTGGCTCTATGCGGGTCAGGGAGCTACTTGAGGAGACAGTCTATCTTTTATTGGGGCTTAAGTCCTGAGCTGTGAGCTCTGTTGTTCCTTCAGAGATGCTGTGCAGGTACGTTTAGGTCTGCTGCAGCTGAACTCATAAAGCACTTTTTGTTCCCAGGTGCTCTGTCCCGGGGAGTTGGGGCTTTATGAGTTTCCATTGCACTACTGCCTTTTTCGATCTTTCTTTCAGGTCTGCCCTGCCCAGCTAGCAGCACGCCTAGCCACTGCCTGCCCACAGAGGCTTTGCTGAGCCGCTGTGGGCTCCGTCCAGCTCCCCTGAGCTCTTCCCTGCAGTCCTGTTTATATGGGCGTAGTTAGAACTATCTCGGCAACGGTGGCCCCACCTCTGTTATGGTGGACTCTCTCTGTTGTGGCAGGTTGCCTCGGCAACAGCGGGTTGCCTTGGCGAGGGCGGCCTGCCTCCATAGCGGTAGAGAGTCTCAGTAATGGCGGACACCCCTCCCCCACCAAGCCAGACCGTCCAGGGTTCCACTGTGCGTGCTTTGAAACGCTCAACCCAGAGGGTTTTCAATTACTGTTTTTGTTTTCGTTGTTGTTGGGGGTCGGGGGGTGGGACCAACCAAGCCTGATCACCTGGCTCCCTGACTCAGAGTCTTTTCTTTTTTTTTTTTTTAAGATGAACGACCCCGCGTTCCAGTCGCTTGTTGAAAAGGTGCCAGGATCTCCCGTGCTGCGACTCACTGAGTCGGCTCAAACAGCGGCGCCAGCTCCTGGTGGCTTTTTTGCCTAGGAATCTCCTGGCCTGGCTCGCTATTTCAGATGAATGGGCAACTCTGCCATCTCAGGGCTCCAATCGCCAGCTAAGAGGGCTCCCAGACCAGTGGCTTATGTACGGAGAACCGCCGCAACAGGGCGAGGTCAAAGCAGCTGCGCGGGCCAAATCAGTCCCATGGAGGCCAAAGCAGCCGCACCGGCCGGGACTGTGGTGCTGGCGACCCCTCTGCCTGGGTATCTCCTGGTCTGTGGGCAATAAAAATTCGTCTGGAAA